TGGCTACCAAATTCGCTTTATTTAGAATAACAATAGTATGCTGTCACGACCTATACTAATATCATTGTATTCAATTTACAGTTGGTCACATTGGTCTAAAGGTGGTCAAATGGACGAATGGTAGTAATCCATGATTTGGGAAACGTTGATTAGAAGTTTGGATATGGTTTAAAATTGGAGAAGCAAACAAAAGGGGTTGGAAGAATCAAATGAATGTTTGAGCAATACATACAATGATCATCTAATTCTGAAGGCAATAACATAAATAAATAAATGTGTAATTACAAATTGCAATTTATAACCTGTAAGATACAGTTAGTAATTATACATTAAAAAAAAACTATCAGAAACAAACCCACACCAGCAGCCCAATTCTCAAACCATAAACCCAATCCACAAGTCAACCGGCACAGTCAACCAAAGTCAACGAGTCATCTTTGGTCAACTTGGATCAACCGACTTCTTACAGCCTTATCTCATCCCAAAGGCCAACAATGATTACTGCCTTTTCTTGAAAGGAGGAAAAACGGCTAGCTCTTCTGCAAACCGACCAAACAATTGACAACACACCAAAATGAATAGTAAAAGAGGCCAATATATATTGGAGAAGGGTTCTCGGTTCCAGGAGGAGGGGGAGGAGAGCACAAAAAAATACACAGCAAGCTTGATAAGAAAAAGGGCAGCTGATGCTCAAGAAAAACAGGACAAAAAAAAAACAGCAGCAAGCATTGACAAGAGAAAGAAAAAAAGCAGTATTAGAAGATCAAAGAGGAGCAGCACCAAGGAGAAACTCGGCATAAACCCAGGCAGAAAGATCAAAAGGGGGCAGCAAGCAATCATATTCAAATCACAAAGGACCACTCTTCACAGTTCCAGGTTAGTATCTCTCAGATCCAAACACAACAAATATTTAATCGATTCACAAGAGTAAATCATTCATCTCATCATGATAAACATAATTGAAAGCATAAATGAATATCCATGATAGATCTATAACCGATGCTTGTTAGGAAATCTAAACTAGCTTCCATCAACACTTTCTCGTTTTAAACAAACTCATGTAAACATACCTTTACTAACCTGATCTACATATGCTTTGCTAACATATCTTGGTAATAATTTAGATCTGAATCACCTTTGTATTTTGAACTCATTATATATATGAGCTGTATTCCCTGTTATGATATGTAATAAGTTAGCCCTAAAGGTGAGTACGTCCCTCTAGTTCAAGCATAGTTGAATTACCAACAAGAGAATCCATTTCCAATCCTCATGATAATAGCAAAAAATAACAGACTCGGATTCATTACAAACTCAGTTTTAGGAGGCTACCATAGAAAGACATTTTCTTTCGTTTTCTAGGGAACCCCTCCAAATCCAATCATATCTTATAATATAACCTTTCGTTTTAAAGACAAGGTCCTTAGTAGAGGCTATGTCTTTTTCTATCATCCTCAAAGTACAGTATAATAATCAGGAACACAAACTTTCTACAATACAAAACATATGAAACCAACGCATACTACAATAGTTTCTTCAAATATGAAATCATTAGCAATGGCTAAGACTTTCAGTTAGCTTTGAATCGTTTCCAAGTTTATCAAACATTGGTTTTTCATTGGTAATCCTGATAAAACTTTTGCTAGATAAACCCCATCAAGAACAACTTTTTTCTTTCATTCTAGAATCACAAGCAGAGGCTGTGATTTTCGGTTATCTAAAATTATTTAGAAATCACAAGCAGAGGCTGTGGTTTTTATATATCTTAAAATCATTTCATAGTTAATATACCCAGCAAAACAAATGATTTACCAAATTTGACCATAAAACACCAATTCAGCTAGCAGATTAAGAAACTAATTCCTAGCTAATTAAAACCCAGAACCTAAAGCGGTTAAAAACCAAATCTCATTCTCAATTTTACCTTTTAATCATACAAGGTCGTGAGATGGGAGAACATCACCCCGATCTCGGTCTCCTCTAACCTGCATTCCAACCCAATCAGGCGTGTTAGATTTCAATCCCGAAGAAATTAACCAAATAAAATCTAATCAAAACCCATTTCATCAAACCTACTGAGAGAAGGAACCGAAAGGTTCAGTTGAAGTCTCTTGTCGGCAGCGACTGCTGCCTCGGCGGCGTCGACTCCTGCTCCGGCGGCTCCAAGCCGCCCTCTTTTCCTTCGATTACAACCCGAAAACCCCGAATCCAAAATAAACGCTCAAAATTATAAACAAAGGAAATCTCATTAAAGCCTATTTCGTCAATCCTACCGAGAGAAGAAAACAGAGGAAATCTCATTAAAGCCCTCTTTTCCCCTCGCGTAAATCCAAAACCAAAAAACATCAGAATTCGGTTTTTGAAATAGAAAACCAAAAGATATCCTACATGCAAGGCGGAATCTTACCCAGTTCGCCATTTTTTTTTTGTCAATCTGGGGAGTTCGAGTCCTTCTTGTGTCTGGCGATCGGAGAGAAGAGGGAAGTATGAGATGATTTCATTCTCGGGCATGGATGATCTCTAGATAGTAGATCGAGCGGGGAAGAAAGCAGATTCGAGAGAGGGGGAAGGATTTCGTTTTTGTTGTTGTTTGTGTGTAGTTTCAGAGAGGCCAGAGGGGAGAATAGAGAGAGAGAGAGAGAGAATTAGAGCATCGGTCGTTTTGGTCGATTTAGGATCAGGCGGCTAGGGTTTATCGGTCTAGGTACATGTATCTCGGTCCCCGAACTGACCAAAATACCCTTAGGTTTTTCTTAAAATTACGGCTCCTTGCCACCGCGTTTTCGTGAAAGTACAAAAATGCCCTTCCCTTGTGTTGAAAAACGAAAATTATATAGGAAGGTTGAGGTATCGAACCCGATACATTCGGGTCCGAAATTCGGTCGAGCTACATAACCAGTTGGACTGCTGGTTCATCTTTTGCAAATTTAATCAATCAGATTCATTTTATTATTTAATATCCTTAATACGAAATTTCATATGCGGATTAAGTTAATCCTGTTTCTTTTCTAATACACCAAGTATCTTCCTAAAAACTAAGATTATTATGTTTCTCTTAACAACCTCATAATAATCTATTCAAATTTTATCAACAAAATTCTTAATGCGAGAATCACGATCAGTGGAACGTGATTACAACTAAATTATCAAAGTTCAAACGAACTACGTGGACTTTGATCCCGTCTAACGGGTACGTAGGCAACCGATAAGGTTCGAGTCCAACTAATCAACTAACTTTATCTTTAAATTTTTACGTCAGTGGGCATTTAATTAAATCATAACTAATACGATTAAATCATTAAACGGTCCAGTGGGACCCCGAAAATACAAAATACTACAAAAATACACCCAATTCGTATAAAACTTATCGACTTAAGTAGTACCGATTTAGGGCGTTGTGGGGTGTGATTTCACTTCCCCACACGTAACCGTACTCCCGAACCCAAATTTCTTAACCGCAGACCATATCTCGGTTCTGACCCTAAGGTTAGAGCCGACCGAAGAGTGTTCGATCCACTCCAAGTAAGATCGATGGCGACTCCCAAAAATGCCGACGCGACGACATACGGACCCCCGGAGGGATGGTTGCGACACCTTACATGAGGTATATTTATACCCTTCTCAACAGAACACATCAAGGGTTTACATTGCTTCTCACGTAACCTAGACACACAAGAAGAAGGAGACGTGACCTCCTTGTGCTCCTCGGAGATGGACTCGGCCAATACGGCCGATGATGTCGATGGGCCTTTGTTGTCCGACGAAGCAACTCGGCCCAATACGCCCCCGCAAGCTGGACGGTGGAGATCACAAACGTTCAGCTTGGACAACAGAAAGCGAAACCGGTCAGCTCCGAGCCCTTTGGTGAAGAGATCCGCTAGCTGAAACTGCGAACTGACCTTGCAAGGAGCAATATCGTGAGATAGGACACGTTCACGAACGAAGAAGCAGTCCCTTTCCACATGCTTCGTGCGTTCATGGAATACTGGATTAGCTGCAATATGTAGAGCAGCCTGATTATCACAGAACAACGTAGTGGGTTGTGACTCAGTAACACCGAGCTCGCTAAGCAACCAACGGAGCCAGAGAACCTCACTGACTGTGCTAGCCATAGCTCGATATTCTGCTTCAGCAGAGGAACGTGCAACCACTTTCTGTTTCTTGGTACGCCAAGAGATGGGAGCATTACCAAGACGAATGAAAAAACCAGTAGTCGAACGACGAGTACTCTCACATCCACCCCAATCAGCGTCACAGTAAGCAACCAGATCGAGCTCACCACTGGTAGGGAAATAGAGACCCTGTCCCGGAGACTGCTTGAGATAGCGAAGAATACGAAGAGCAGCATCCATATGATCCTGAGTGGGTGCATGCACAAAACGACTAAGAATGTTCACCCCATACGTGATGTTCGGACGGGTGACAGTGAGATACTGAAGACGGCCAAGCAGTCGACGAAACGGAGACCCCTCAGCCAAAGGAGGAGAGGAGGACCGAGTGAGGTGATGATTCTGCCCGACGGGAAATGAAATGGGTCGAGCTGCCTGGACCCCAGATTCTTCAACGATATCCAAGGTATACTTGCGCTGACTGAGCATAATGCCGCGCGGAGACCGGGCAACTTCAATGCCCAAGAAATAGCGAATAGGACCCAGATCCTTGATGCTAAAACGCTGATCAAGGAAAGACTTGACTTGAGTGATAAAACCCATATCGTTGCCGGCAAGGAGGACATCGTCAACATATATGAGCGCGGTGATAAACACAGAATCTTTCTTGAACACGAAGAGAGAATGATCTCCAGGAGAGGGTCAGAAACCGAGCTCGCACAAAGCTGTGGTGAATTTTTGATACCACATACGCGATGCCTGTCGAAGTCCATAGAGGGACTGATGAAGTCGACAAACCCGAGTCTCACCACGTTCGGCAAAACCAGGGGGAATTCGCATATATACCTCCTCAGTTAGGTCACCGTGCAAAAAAGCATTGTTGACGTCTAACTAATGAACAAACCAGCCATGATGTGCGGCGACAGCAAGCAAGCACCGAACAGTGACAAGTTTAGCAACCGGTGCGAACGTGTCGTGGTAGTCTATCCCCTCAACCTGCGTATAACCCTTGGCAACTAGACGTGCCTTATACCGTTCGATGGATCCATCAGGACGATATTTGATCTTGAACACCCATTTACAGTCAATGATACGCTTACCCGCCGGGGCTTGAATGAGGCTCCAAGTGCCATTGGCCACGAGAGCGGCGATTTCCTTAATCATTGCTTCGCGTAATTGAGGATGACGCACTGCTTCACTGAAGCTACGGGGTTCATCATGACTTGTAACCGCGGCCAAGAAAGATCGATAAGAAGGGGTTAGACGTGAATAAGACACATGAGCCGAAAGAGGGTACTGAACAGTATGAACTGTGGTGTCGTAGGCTTCAAGATGCTTGGGGCGAGCTCGAACCCGATCACTACGACGCAAGGCTTCCACAGCGGTTTGAGGAATTGAGGGATGCTCAACCGCATCAGGAGCTGAAGGCGAGTCCTGTGGAAGTGACGAAGGCGAATCCTGCCGTGAGGAAGAGGAGGGACCATGTGATAGCTCGAGACTTGCTACAGGCGAGTGAGTGTTCCGCGGTGAAGGGGACTTACTAGAAGGCATCCCAGAGCCAGTAGTGGACGAGGGAGAAATGGTCTCGACAGGAGTGACCACCTCGGAGCTAGTAGGAGGCGTAGCAAGTGGAGTGCCATCATCCTCAACGGCTGGAAACTGAAAGTTACCAGGCGGTACCCAATGGAGAGGATTTCCCAGAGAGTCACGAAAGGGGAATTGATCTTCAACAAAGTGAACGTCGCGGGAGACGAAGACTTTCTTGGTAACCAGATCATACACGCGGTAGCCTTTTTGCCCGGACGGATAGCCAAGGAAAACACATGCGCGCCCCCTGTCAGCGAACTTATGAAGATGATGATGGGTGTCTTTGGCGTAGACTAGGCAACCGAAGACGCGAAGATGATGATACTTCGTCGGTGAAGAGAAAAGAACTTCGAAGGGTGTTTGACCAGTGGCTGTAGTAGGAAGCCGATTCAACAAGTATGTGGCTGTTAAGACACATTCGCCCCAAAACTGAAGAGGCAATCTAGCATGAATGCATAACGCGCGTGCCGTTTCGAGAATGTGTCTATGCTTCCTCTCTACCACCCCATTTTGCTGGGGTGTGTCAGTACAGCTAGTCTGGAAGTGAATCCCATGTTGTTCATAATAATCACGCAGAATAGTAGACTGAAATTTCGTGCCATTATAGGTTTGAATGCGCTTGACACGACTGTTGAACTGAGTGGCAACCATCTCAAAAAACATCAGCAAATATCGACCAACCTCTGACTTGAACCGTAATAAGTAGACCCAAACACCACGACTAAAGTCATCAACGATAGTGAGGAAATAATGGGAACCGATAAGAGAGGGAACATGATAACCGCCCCACAAATCCAAATGAATGAGATCAAAACAAGCAGCTGTCTTTATTGAACTAAAACCAAAAGGAATCCGAACTTGTTTTGCACGATAACAAGAATGACAATGTTCACTAGCCGAATCAATGACTAAATCGGAAGATAAAAATGACTTGAGCTACATGATCTTGGGAAGAGATGGATGACCCAATCTCGAGTGCCAGACCTCCACAGTGCCTCCTCCACCAGCAGCCAAAGCCAGACGCTCCTGATAATCAAAAAGTCGCAGGTAGTATAGCCCGTCACGGAGAATCCCCTTCCCAATCACGTTCTTGGATCGTAAGTCCTGGAGGAGACCAAAATCATGGAGGAATATTAAAGCTACATCATGCTCTTTTGTCAACCGGCTAACTGACAGTAGATTACAATGAAAGTCTGGGACATAGAGAACCCGATCCAACTTGAAACCTGCAGATAACTCAACCGATCCCACCTTCGAAACAGGCACACTAACCCCGTTAGGGATCTTGACAGAGCGACTAGAGAGGTCAACGGTGCTGTTACTTAGCATAGACTCATCATGCACAACATGTTCGTTACACCCGGAGTCTATCAGCCATTCGAAACCTGATAAAAACATACCTGCCATGTTGGATGTGGGTGACTCAGCCGGTTTGGACAAATTGAAGAACATGCGAAGCTGTTCGAGCTGTTGCATACTGAAGCCCGAAACTGGGCTCTCTGATTCAACCTGAGCAGCTCGCGGTGGTGCGCCATCTCCTTGATTTCGACGTTTGCGACCACCACTAGAAGAGCCTTGGCTGCTCTTGTCACGACTTGGGTATCCAATGATTTCATAACATGTGGCCTTGAAGTGGCCTAGCTTACCACAATGAAGGCACTTAGGCCGACCCCCTTCACGAGGCTCAGAAGGATACGTGCCGCCAGAAGGGTCGAGGGCATGATTGCTGCGAGTGTTGAATGCAGCGGCTTCGATTTGTGGCCTACGGTTCTGGGTGAGCAGCTTTTGTTGTTCATCATTGGAGACCAAATTGAATGCCTCACTCAAAGACGGAGTGGGCTTAGTAGCTAGGATCTGCGTACGAATCATACCGAAGTTGTCGTCAAGACCCATGAGAAAATCGAACAAGCGTGAGCTCTCGTCACGTTCCTTTGTCCGACGTTCCAGCTCACACGTACAAAGTCCACACGTACACTTCGGTGGAGGCGAGATTGATTGAGCCTCTTCCCAGTTCGTGCGCAGACGAGTGTAGAAAGCTGACAAACTCAGCTTTTCTTGTTGGAGAAGACCGATGAGACGACGAAGCTCATAGGCACGATAAGCGCTGCCCTGTCCAAAGCGCTCTTGAGGTTGAGCCATATTTCCCGGGACGTCGCTGCATAGCGAACACTGCCACGCACCTCCTTGTCCATGGAAGCTCTGAGCCAGCCCTTGATGACAGCGTCACACATCGTCCAAGCCCGAAGCTATTGATCAGATTGCGATTTGGGAATTGAACCATCCACAAACCCTAACTTGTTGCGAATGACGAGGGCGTCGGACATCTCGACAACCCACTCGTCATAATTAGATGACGTGAGACGCTCTCTGATTTGCAGCTGACTTGCAAGCTCGGAGGGATGAAGATAGAACGACGATGACGAATCCTGATCCTTCCCGAGATTGAGGGAAGTCGAACCTGAAGATGGTTTCTTGGAGTCGTAGTCGCTCATGATGACAAGAGAAACATGATGAAGCTGGACCTACAGCTCTGATACCATGAGAAATATTGAGCTACGTGCGGAAACGTAAAGAACACATGTTTACGTGGTATCCCCGTTGTACGGGACTAGTTCACGGGAGAGAGGGAGTCTCTCCGGCTCTGATGATCTTATTATTGAACGAGTGTGGCGATAGGCCTTACATGAGATATATTTATACCCTTCTCAACAGAACACATCAAGGGTTTACATTGCTTCTCACGTAACATAGGCACACAAGAAGAAGGAGACGTGACCTCCTTGTTCTCCTCGGAGATGGACTCGGCCAGTACGGCCGATGATGTCGATGGGCCTTTGTTGTCCGACGAAGCAACTCGGCCCAATATCATCCGCTCTCTTTCACTTTAAGAAAACTAAGCGGCTTCCGCTTCACTCCACCTTAGTTGCCCAGCCATATCACCCGCAAAAGCAGTGCGAGTCGACACGAGCGCCACTAGGTCCAGAGCACAAAAGCACTGCCGCAACTCGCAATCACTAAATCTGCAAGCATCCAATATAATTATGCAGATCCCTCCTCAGCCTGTTTTCTAGTCGGAGGACCCGACGCCACCGCTGTCTTAATTGGCAGGTTTGTTGTTTGAGTAGATCTAGGATTTTTGGTAAACAGATCTACCCTTGGTGGCTGCTGGAAGTTCCAGGATACGAAGTCTCTGTACATTGGCAAGATCTAGACTGAAATTCTCGAGTACGCTTCAACATTTTAGCAAGACCATTATACGAAGTCTCTGTACATTGTTCCATTTTTTTATGGGATTCTTGTTATTTCTTCTCTACTTAGTGAAATTTTTGTACGTAGTTGTATTCAATGCAGTCAAAAAGCGCGATTCTACCTAGAAGCGGAAAAGGGGTAAAATCGTAAAGCGTAGAATCAAAGCGTAAAAGCGTAAGTATTTTACGCATACTGTAAACTAACTAAAAATCTGTTGAGTACGATATATACTATGTAAAATATGAGTGCACAGAATTTGGACAAGTTAATAAATACTTGTAATTCACGTCTAAGGTAGAGCAACTCATAGTATCTTTTAACAATAAGTCCATAAACATAGATCTTAACAATAAGCCACCTTCCTGCCTATGTTAATAAATTTGGGAAAGGCCTAGCTCGTGAATTAGATTACTCTTTTGAAGTTGAGAATGCATCCAAGTACCTAATATGTATCTTTTATTCTAAAATCTATCATATGGTTGGTGTTTTACCTTTAAAATATACTTTTTATAATAAATTTCATGAAAATAATATCCATTTAGTGAACTAAAAACGTAAAAGCGTAAAGCGTTTTGGTGAACTAGAAGCGTAAATTTGTAGGGTCAAGACAAGTGACTGAGTAAAAAAAATGACCTGATTATGCATTTTGCTTCTCAGATAAATAAAATTATTTATTTATAATATGTGTGATTTTTGAAATCTTTTTGTATGGTTAAATGTATACTTACTTTTTGTGGATTAGTGGCAGTTGGTTGAAATTAGTATTTTATACCGAGTGCATATATGAGGTCTTTTAGTTTGGTGCTAGGAACAAGAATAAACTTATTCATACAAATGGGTATAGCTATGATTTTTTTGTAAAAAATATTTATATATTTTCTAACATTAAGTAATAAGACCCATTGACTAATTGACCCCATATGTTTTTAATATTCATGAGTATTTTTAGTGAACTTTATATTGAAAGTTATGTTGTTGTTGATTGTGAATGATTGTTCAAGAACTTTCCATCAAAACTTGGGTATAGTCAGGGGTGTCAAAATGGGTTCGGTTTTTCTGTTTAACCCGAAACCAAACCGAAAATGAAACTTGATGGGTTCGGGTTCTCGGTTTCAACCCGAAAGTGTGATGCTCCGGTTTCGGTTCGCTTTAATCCGAAAATCGGTAAGGAACCGAAAAACCGAATGTTGCTTAGTTCTACGCTGTCGTTTTGTTTGTAGGGTTTTTTCTTCGACTATTGACATTGAGCTGTGGCCTCGCCTCGCCTGTGACTGTGAGCATCGCGCCGCGCGCGGCATCGCCAATTCGCCATTCGCCAATCGCCACACTGCCCACACACTCGACGATCGGCAGGCGGCAACAACCCTACCCTGCAGCGCCAACCCTACTCTGCAGCGCAGTCAGAGACTCCCCCGTCGCCGGCGAACTCATCCCCCGTCGCCGTCGTTCAAGAATCAAGATCGAAGCTTCGACAAAGGAGACGCCACCCCTTTGCAGTTCGCACTTCGCCATGGAATCCCAGTGAGTCTCTTCGCCATGGGTCTGCTCTGTTCTCGTTTCCCTTTACTTTCTGTGTTCAGTGCTCTGTTCACGTTTCCCCTGCCTGTTGTTGTGGAAGCATAGTGTAATTGGGTCATGTCTATACTAGTTTAGAGAAGCATAAAGTGAATCCTCGTAAGTTCTTAGCTCAAAATTTTTGCTTCCAACTCCCTCGAAGACTTGCCTGTTTCTGGTGGGGACTAGGATTCTGGTTCCTGCACCGAATTCCGCTTCGACGCATAGTTGGATCAGAAACTCTATCTGCTCTGGGTTTTCCACTCCATCCAGCAGAATGAGAACGTTTAGCCTTTGTCGCTCATCTCAAACAGCTCTTGCTGCAATTGGTCTTTTTGGAAGTTGGTAAGAGCACAAAACCCATCAAATTGACCACAGCATCCGCGGTAAACACACCCTGAAAGCTTGGACTTCCCTATCCCTCCCATCCCCCAAATGGAGATAATGCAGACACGATCAGATGGAGCCCTATAATAGCCGTAAACACCATAGGCCTATAATAGCCGTAAACCAGAACCTTTTCGATCCATTGTTTACTGTTGTGGCTAATTAAGATGGTTACATATGCTTTAGTTTGACATTTTAATGATGGGTTTTGCACACCTGAATTTATTTCTAGATTCATTGGCTTTTAGGGTTACAGGTTGATTTAGAGGAGAGGGTTTTTTTTTTTTCAAATTTGAGAAATTTAGTTTTGTTCTATATAGATCAAGTAGAAATTTATGACGAACTAGTGTTTATTGCGCAATCATATGGGACCAACACGTCATACAGGTTAAATTGTGCATATAAGATTGGTTTTGGTGGTTCGTCATGATTTTAATGTTCTAAGTGATTGATGATCTCATTCTTTTTCCCCCTTGAAATGAATATTTGATATCACTTCAGCAAATATTAATTGAGGGTAACTTATTATTAGTTAGTTTGGGACCTAACCAATGAGTAATATATCATAATTCCTTTTTTAGGGATTTGTTCAACTTAGGAGAGGATCCGAATTAATGTCACCCCCATAACACTCAACTTTTCATTTTGACAGGGGAAGTGAGGCACCATCGGCTTCTCGTCCTAAACGTGGAGGACGCTCTAAGAATACCAGCATTCCTGCTCCTGCACCATCTTCTGCACCGTCTTCCGATCCTGCTCCTGCTTCTGCACCGTCTACCGGTACCACCAATGTACCTCCTGCTCAAACAATAGACGAGGAGACAATTTCAAGAAAAAGGAAAGAAAAGTCCGACGTGTGGCCACACTTCAAGCGTTTTAAGAAGGATGGGTTGGACAAAGCAAGATGCATTTATTGCAATGGTGTTCTTATGGCTCCCACTAAATATGGGACTTCTACTCTGCGGAATCATAAAGATAGTTGTTTGGAAAAGATACAAAAGGGTGAGCTGATAGTCGACCATATATCATCTTCTGAAGGCCAGGTACACACTCTTGGGACTTGGAAATTCGATCAGATTGATGCTAGGAGAGCTTTAGCGGAGATGATTATCATAGATGAATTACCATTTAGGTATGTTGAACATGAAGGGTTCAAACGGTTTATGGCTCGTGTTTGTCCAATGTTTGTGTTACCTAGTCGTCAGACCGTTAGAGAGGATTGTATCAAGGTGTTCTTTGAAAATAGAGAGTTGCTGAAGGACTATTTCAAGACTAAGTGTTTAGGGATGGTATCGCTCACCACTGGTACTTGGACTTCTTTGTCCAATCTCAATTATATGTGCATTACTGCTCATTTCATTGGTAGAGATTGGAAATTGCATAAAAGAATTATTAACTTTGTCCAAGTTACAAAACATTCTGGAAGTGAAATTGGAAAACAGTTGGCTAGTTGTTTGGTGGAGTGGGGCATTAGGAATGTGTTTTGTATAACAATGGACAATGCTAGTGTCAATTGATGTGGTTGCTATCCATATGAAGGAACAGTTGAAAGAGTGGGGATCCGATATTTTGGATGGAAAATATCTGCAGATGAGGTGTGTGGCTCACATTATTAATTTGGCTGTGAAGGATGGGCTTAAAGAAACTGGTAAATCTGTGGAGCGAGTGAGAGAATCTGTGAAGTGGGTTAAATCTACACCAACTAGGAGCAGAAAATTTAAAGATTGCATTGAGTTTGAAAAGATAGCTTCGAAGAAATTTGTTTCGTTGGATGTAGCTACAAGGTGGAACTCAACGTATCTGATGTTGGAATCTGCAAAGCCATTTGAGAAAGCATTTCAGACATTAGCTAGAAATGATAAGAAATTCAAGAAACATCTCAATGAAAAAAAATATGGAAATGAAAGTCTTGGTATCACGACTTCTGATGATTGGTCTAGTGTGGGACGGTTGATTGATTACCTGAAGCTATTCTATGATTTGACTGTTCGAGTTTCTGGGACTTCATATGTGACTTTACACCTCTTGTTTGATGAGGTATGTGAAATGTATACTATGATATCTGAGTGGGCTGATGGTATAGATTTTGAGGTGTCTTGCATGGCTGATAGAATCAAGTCCAAACTTGCAAAGTATTGGTTTGAAGATGAGTTGGAGAATTCCAAGATGAATCGGTTGTGTTATATGGCAGTCATATTAGATCCTAGACGGAAAGTTGAATATCTTGAACAAGCTTTGAAAAATGTGTATGGTGAGAGCAGGGGTAAAGCTTTGGTCGAAGAGGTGAAAGATGGAATGCCTCTTGTGTTTGACCATTACAAGCATAGGCTCGGACTTCCTGGAAGTTCTCCCATTGTGATTCAGGAAGATGTGCAAGAACATAGTGGAAGTGGGGATGGGAAGAAGAAAGGGAAGATTTGGGGTGATTTCAGGAAAATGAAAAGAGATGCCATTCTGAAAGAAACCAGAAAAAGTTCAAAATCTGAGTTTGATAGGTACCTTGAGGAGGAGGAGGATGATGAAGTGGTTACACGAGCATTGGTGGGTTCAGAAGAGGATGAATACAAATTTGACATCTTGGGATGGTGGTCGCGAAGTGGGATGAAATATCCTACTATTTCTGAGATGGCTAGGGATATTCTTGTTGTTCCTATTTCCACTGTTGCTTCTGAGTCGGCATTCAGCACAGGAGGTCGAGTTTTAGATTCGTTTAGGACCTCCTTATCCCCTGAAGTTGTGGAGGCGTTGATTTGTTGTGAAGATTGGATAAGATCTTCAGATTCCGAGTTGGTGGCTGATGGAGAAGATGAGGGTGATGAAGTGGTATTTCAAAATGGTAAGGATTTAATCTTTCTCTTTATTCCTATATTTGTTATCTTGATCAAGTCATATTCTAACAATTTGTTATTGTTTATGTTATCCAGTATATGCAGCTTTTCAAGCTCGGAGTGCAAGTGCACCTGCAGGAACTAGTGGAAGCTCTCGTGCAGGACCCAGTGGAAGCTCTCCTGCTACCCATGTTTTGGTCTCGAGTCCTACTATGTCACAAGTGGAAGAAGACTATGTCGACAACAATTCCGATGAGAATGATGAGACTTATGTAGATGTAGAGCCTGATGAGGAGTGATAATGGTAGTAGTATTTATCTTGTATGGTGGATGAATTTTTATTTTACTTGGATGTTATCATATGAGAATTGTAAAACTAATGTGTTTAATTACGAGTTGAACTTGGTCCCCCATAAACAAAATGAGGTAAGCAACTCATGTGAAACAATTCATAAAACTGTAGATTTTGCACACAATCATCTCAAAAAATTAAAAAAAAACCCCAAACAATCTCAAAATAAATAAAAACTTAACCCCTCAATCGTCACCTTTCCTTCTCTAACTTCTTAATTATGAATTTTTAAATCAAACTCGTCTCATCTAAATGAAATTATAATCAAGGATTGAAAAACGGTATCTTTTTTGGATGATAGCATAACGGATTTTTTATTTTGCACTTAAATTCTGTTTTGATGATTAACCATAATCAAAGCTCCCAAAATAGGAAATTGATTAGTCGAATTTACTTACTAAACTGTCCCTCCCAAATTAATTTTTCCCCCAGTCTGCTAGTCAACTAATTACCATGATCATCGACGAGTTTGACTAAATTTAAATTACCAAACCCATTACCGACAAAAGTTTCCATTTCCTCTCCCTTTAATTCTTCTTCCTTGCCATATTTTGCCCATTCTCTATAGTTATAGAATACATAAAATTAAATATTTTAATAATTAACTAATAAGAATAAAATTGTTTGTACAAACAAAAGAATGTACAAATAATAATAATAATATTTTAATAATTAACTAATAAGAATAAAATAGTATGTTTTATGTTTAAGAATGTACAAATAATAAGAATAAAATTGTTTGTATAAACAAAAGAATATAAAATTCAAATTACAGAAATAGTTATAAAAAAAAAACCAGTTCGATTTCGGTTTCACCCGAACCGAACCGAAACCGCCAGCGCTTTTTCCGGTTTTCTGAACCCGTAACCCGCAGGACACAAAATTCGGTTTCGGTTTCGGGTTTGAGGGAGGCGGTTTCGGGTTTCGGTTTTTTGCGGTTTTCGGGTTCGGTTACCCGAACCGAACCGAACCGACAGCCCTAGGTATAGTTAGGTTGGTTCAAGTGCTTGCTAATTTGGAACATGGAATAGGATGGACATATATATTTAGTTAGTTGTGATACCAAGTAAACGTTGTGCTTACTATGTCATTTCTAGTTGCCACATGAGTTCATACAAATGAACATAAAGGATAATTAACTCTGATATATGTGATAACTAAATAGTTCAATGAGATAGAGTTATACATATAAATATAAGTGGGAGAGCTAGAAGTGAATTAATAGCAACATTATGTGAAATTTGAGTTTGTTGAATTTTGTGGCGAGAGATAGCATTGACAAGTTCCTCTTTGTACCAATGTTTCATATAGTCATTTGTTGAAGCTCTTTGAAGGCGTCAACAACTAGATTTTTTGACAAGTTGCATGCAAATGCAACTTGGGTTCAACATTGGAGAGATTCTCCATTTCTGCTCTGTCTGATCTAGATTTCATCATCAACTAGCTCTCATTACTTTCGACATTTGGGTCGTCGCCATCCTCAAGTTCTGATGACACTACTCCAGCCTTAATTCTTTCTTCCCAACTTCAATAGTTCTAGTAGTTTATGTGCTTAAAGTTCTGCAGTAACTTTATAGTTTTAGAAAATAAAGTTGTCCTTAATTGCACTATGTACTGAACCCTTAACTTGATGTTGTTCAATATATATAGTTAAACATAATAAAATTAGTTATTTCTCTACTACCATCTCAAATATGCATGCTAAACTTATAGTAGAGCAATGAATGGAAACATTAAAGAACAATTCTATAACAATGGTTTGTACACATTTTTTTGAATAAATAGCTAAATTCATTTAACCCATTCCCATTGAAAATGGTAGCAAATTCAAAAATATATGCCAATGTTCCTATATTATATATCAACTAGTCTTGTGCACGCCGATGGGCGGTTTGTTTGTTTATTTGGGTTTAGTAATTTGTCATTTTTCTTCAATGTTATTAGGTTTTTCTGTAATTCAATGTTATTAGGTTGCTTATTTCTTTATATTTAATTTTTTCTATATTTTATCTAAATCTCGACTAATCAAATAATAAGAGTCTCGACTATATCATAAGTTGGATGTTCATATTCCAACCATCTAATATTTGACTGACCAATACTTTTAGCTTTGATGTATATGGTCTTTTATTAATTTTTATCTTTGATGTATCTAAATGTTAGAGGCAAGATATTGTGAAATTCTAAAATTTTCTTCTACTCAATTATATATAATAGTTTAACTGAGGGTTCAAATTATCATATGTAATGATTGAAATGACTAATTGTTCAACATCTTTTTTCCGTTTGATGAATGTATAACCGTGAAAATGTGGGATTAAACATTATAGTGACAGTAGACTTCCAATCAATGGTAGATTTGTCACCCAATTGAAAATACATATCATTTATGCCCACCATTCAAATTGTGACAAATCATGCCACCTATAAAACTAAAATCTAATATATCATTATAAGATTCTCACTTACTCCCGAAAATGCTTGTCCTCTTTGCTATTTTAATTTACTCCAACAAAGACTTAAGGAAGTGAGTGGCTTTTGAGTGACAATATCTTGACCTTCTCTTATTTAGAGTAAATGAGACTTTTGGAATGGAGAGTTTTTGTTTATGATGTACTTTTGTTTTCCGACATAACAACATCCCAACACTAACATGTAGAGGTCCAAAAGTGAGATTTGACATGTTTGGTAATTAAATTAAGAACCCAAAAAAGAAACATTGTTTGACAAAAACTAAAGTAAAAGACGATTGCATACCATTAGAATCTTAATTATATTCTCAAGGTGTACATGCTTTAGCAATGAAACACAATTGCCTTCTCATTTTTTATGGAAAGTTGTGAAGCAATTGCTAACAATTTTGGAAACGAAAATTGAGTTAAAATGACCTTTGACTTCCACACTCTAGTTTCGATGGGTTAATTCAATATGATATTTGTAGAGTCAAATAACTTATTAATTGTTCATGTGGTATTTTAGTGTTATTTCAATGGTAATGGGATTAAAGTATCTGATTTGGTGGAACCATGTAAATGTGGTATTTGACAAAAGCAGAGTGATAAAACGAGTTATTTTGACATAACACAGAGGGTACGAGTTATTTCAAATAAGTCACTGCCCATATAACTCATTTCAGTAAAATGCTGCCAAACGAATTATTTGTATTCAAATAACTCGTTATTTGAACCCATCAACTCACAAATACGCACTCAAATACTACATCCAAACCACCCTAGATGCATGCTATTTTTTTAAACTAAAAGTTAACAAAACCCAATTTTAGGTATTTCTCGGTAATAATGAAAGGGAAAAATTACTCAATTTTGTTTCTTGTAGCTATTTCAGGGAGGAGTGAATAATATACTCTGCATAACCTTGTGCATAGCTACATCTCCACATCTCCCAATTTAGGTAACCAGAGCGTGAAGCGAGAGCGAGAGAGGGAGCGAGAACGTGAGAGCGTTGATTTTAAAAGAATTCAATATTGAGAGAGTGAACAAAGGGTTAATATTATATTCTATTATTATTATAATATTTATAATATTTTAAACAAAATACTACTTTCCTATGATATATTATAATAAAATACAACTAAGAAAAATAAAAAAAATATGATCACGAATATACTTCTCTTCTTTTTTTGTAGAATTTCTTTCTTCCACTACTCAAATACATTTTTATTTCTTTTGTCTTTCTTGAAATTCAATTGAAAACTTAGAAATAATTAACTTTCGAATTGCATAATTAGGAAATTGTAAAAATTGAAAAGGGAAAGACAAGACTATGGGAATGAAGGAAATATCTAATGGGGGAAAAATGAAGGAAACATCCTTCTTGGTCGTATGCACAGCTCATAGCTTTTCATATGGGCTTAGCACTCCTAAATCCCACAAGTAAATAGCAAACCCAATGAAACAAAACGAGAAACAGAATTAACCTATGTCTTCTTCGCCTAGAACCCAGAAAACAGAGACAACTTTGATTACCCATCGCCCTGGATCTCCCACCGCCACTGCATCTCTCTAACACCAGGTTCCCTTTCATAGTCGTAGCCACATCGGCATAAATCATAATCGTGACGACGTTCCAGTTGTGGAGCCCAAGGGACTCCAGGAATCGGTCATATAAGCTTCATCTCTGTTTCCGAGAACACCAAAACAGAGCAGCGACAAAGAAAACCCGGGGAAATCAGAACAGCCAGGAACGTGTTTCGTTTAATACGTCGTCTGTCTGATAGAAACCTAGCAATCGTCGATGATCACTGTCCCTCGCCACCTCATATATGCAGTGCTCCAAGGAATCGCGCTCGCCGAAATCAAAGTCGCGCTCCAAATATAAATCATTCGCGACTTCTTCGCGAATTTCCCCAAAACGCGTTTTGTCGCTCTAGAGCGGGATTGTGGGAGCTATACCCGTGATTTGGGTGACCTAACTCCCAATGTCCATTACAGAATTAATCTCAACTGTTTAAAATTCGATACCATTAATTTTTAAACACCAACATCTAAGTCCTTTTAACTCGAATTCTCATTCCTTTTCTTTTGTAGAAGCAACATATTAATTATGCTCCAAAACTTAATACTCATTTTTATAAGATTTGAAAGAAAAAAGTGAAAATCATGCTCATATCACGTCTTACTACGACACTAGTACACTACTTATAAGTTATAACTTATAACCCCAAAACTAGGGTTAATTCCCAAAAGATTGTTTTTTTTTTTTCAATTTACCCCCAATATGTTGTTTTCAAATGTATTGACATAAATATTGTATTTTGGAATGGACAATATGTGAGTCCGGCCAAGACTCAGGAGAAGGCTCTTTATATAATGTTTAGTTCAAAATTGAGTGATGGCGCCCGAGACTGCGACGCCTGCGGGGTTTTTTTGTTTTCGTCAGCGGGAAAATTCCCAAAATCGTTGACCAGCGTAGCCGCCAAAGACTGAGGTGATGAAATTCCACCAGTGGGGGCGCCCAAGACTAAGGCGGGTTCGCTACCTTTTGTGGCCACTCCAGCACTATAAACAAGCGAATTTTCTTTCAGCTCACCACCAAAAAAACATATGTTACAAAGTTAGACGAGAGAAGCTCTGCTGGTTGCTGCAAAGATGGCTAATAGATAAGAGACACATTTATTTTTTAATTATATTCTTCAAATTCTATTATGATTTTGTTTAGTTAGTAATTAGCGAGTTTGTTTTTTTATGTAGTGATTTTAGAAGATTTGAACTAGTCGTTCGGTGGAAATTGGAGAAAGTAGAGGACAATCAAGTGTCCATTTCGTTGGTGGTAGAAGTTTTCAGTTGACGGTTCCATCCAGGATGACATATCACAAACTTTGTGAGAATCTAATTCCGAGAATACGACGTAAAGACGAAGCATAAAAGATAGTGATGTGCAGGTTTCACTTACTGTCTTCCAGAATGGCAGAATGGTGTTTTATTTCATTATGCGATGCCTATTGTGGATGATGATAGATTGAATGTGCTTTTCGATTTTATGGCACAACACCCTTATTGTTTGGGTGCTGAGATACATGCTGAACTCGGTGAGGATCGGGGTGGAGAGGAAGAAGATGAGACATGGAGAGTGCTATCCGATCATGACTATGATGACGGAGAGGAGGAGGATGGGGAAGGAGGGTAGCCTAATTATCCTCCATATTTTTACTTGCAGGGTAATAAAGAGGACGACGAATTATCATATGTTGATTTATATGGTGTAATTCCAATGCCTATTGTTGCTGGTATTGAAGGAGAATTCTACAAGGGGCAGATATTTCACTCGAAACAAGCTGCACAGGTGGCGATTAAAAACCACGCACTACAACACAACTTTCAGTATGTCGTGGTGGAGTCGTCACCTTCAATAGTTCAATTTGGAAGGCAAGATGCTGGAAGCGAATGGATTGTGAGAAAGGCTGAGTTTGTGCATTCTTGTAGCAGTACGACTCAACCGACAGATCATCGCCATCTTGATGTCGACGTTATATCTGAGTCCTTGAAACATTTGGTACGTGCCCAACCAAATCTTAGTGTTCTAAATGTGCAGGCCGAGTTGAAAGACAAGTTTAATATGCAAGTTACTTACAAGAAGGCTTGGTATGGGAAACAAAGAACATTGGAGAAGTTGCAAGGAAATTGGGAAGAATCCTACGATTATTTGCAAACATTCTTGCAGGTGGTAAAGTGAAAAATTGTAACACCCCATGTTCAGGTTAGGGTTCGATTAAGGTTCGACCGAACGTTTGGATCGACGGTTACGTGCAAAGAGTTACAACCACATATTAGGGATAATAATAATAATAATAATAATAATAATAATAATAATAATAAATTATTATATTATCATAATTATTATATTATCATTATTATTATTCATTAAAATAAAACCCTAAACTAAACTAATCATAGTAGTATCAGCCGACGAGGAATCCCTATGTCCCATCTATCCCCTTTCATCTTCTGAACACAATCGCCGCCAAAGAGGAAAAGGACATGATGCAAGCTAGTACTGGTGGAGCTTTGAGGTCTTGGAGTCATGGAGGCGACGTGGGCAGTATGATGACGAAGAACAGCGGCATCATTGTGGTAGCCTGAGGTTAGGGATCCCATAGTGAAGGATTGGTGCCGACGATTGCTATAACCGGAGCTCAAGCCTTGGTAGGAACTAAGGAGCGATATGAAATCATGGTTTGTTCCTTGCGGCAAAACAGCTCGGAAGATATCTTTCTCCGTCTCGCCGTCGTATCCTCATAAAAACCCTGCGGCACCTCCTTCGTCTGTTTCATAGCTAGGTCACGGCAATTGCTTGCCCCCATCCCCCCCCCCCCCGTCGATTTACCCAAAGTGTAGCGATCCGATTCCAGCGAAGTCACTTCGGAGCCTTCTGTTATTGGGGAAAACCCCATGTCGGAAGCATCGGCCTTGGACGGAGCTGGCATGGACGCTGCAGCCACCACGGTCGGCGGCGGAAGTAATGCCGACGACGAGCTGGTTCATGATGTTTCGGGCAGAAGCTTGGAGATTGATTTATTCAAGTTGACGATTCCTTGAAGGGTTTGTATGTGTACAAGAATGATTCCAGCTTGGTGCCCAGGTCAATTCGAATGCTCCACAGGCTGAGGACGTTTAAGTTTTTCGGGATGAACAATTAGGCGAGGAGTAAAAGTGTCGGAGGTGTGTGGGGTAATTGTCATAACTTGGAATGGAAGTTTAGACGATGTATGAAGTATGGATTTGATGTTCTTGCTTTCTGCGTTTGCATGGATCGGATTTGGCCCGCAAGTACGAGGCTTCTAAGGATTTCAGGGATAATTACTGCATGGGATGGATGGAATTATGCGGTGGGGAATCTGATGAAGATATGAGATGGGTGATCATGTATAAAACTTTTGGAAGCATATGGAGGAGTGGGGCTTGCGTACACACTTCAAGGAGAGTGGACTCTAACACGATCAACCCTTGGATGGTGGTTGGTTCAACTCAATCGACTTGATATTAAGGTGAGTGTAAAGGGGGTAAATTCTACGCCTTACGTATTCTTTTAAGTATTTTAGCGAATTGGTTACCATTGCTTGATTATGTTTATGATTGATTATTTGTGCTTTGCTTGAGCTATGATTTGAGGTGATTTTGTGCTATTTGAGGTGATTTGGGGTGATTTTGTGCTTTTTACCATAAAGCGTTATGTTATGAGTTATTGTTAAAGTTTAAGAAACAAGTTCTTTTTAAGAAGTAACTCACCTTCAAGAAGGTGAAGTCGTTTTAAGTGTTTTTAGTCACTAGCGCCAGTCTGTTGCCATTTGAGATTTTCAGATATAGCAGCAGTTATGCTCTTGAGATCTTTGAGACAGAGCAGCAGTTATGCTCTTGAGATATTTAAGATGAGCAGCAGTTATACTCTTAAGAATCGTGGTGAAGAGCCACCATGATAAGTTTAAGATGGTAGGGGGATGAATCGTTACGACTCCCCTAACTAAGTTTAAGTTTAAGGAACGCCTTGATGGCTTCTCATCCGTATGAGTTGGCAACTGGACTAGCTAGTGGGGGATCCCAGTGTCAGTCAAGTATTTAAGTCGAGATTTGAGCTTTAAGAATGGAGAGTAACAGTAACTCCCATACAGTTTTAAGAGTTAGGAATTTTAAGAGTGGAAGTACAAACAACTTCCACAAATTTAAGTAAGTGTTTTAAGTAAAGTACTAAGCAGTAAGAATTTTAAACGTAAGGGCGTAGACTGACCCCATCTCACTCACCAGTTTGAAGAGATAGAGGAAGAGCTAGAGGAGCATTTAGTGAGCAGCGAATTCGAGGACATGCAACTAGAGGAGGGCAGTATAAGCGTCACTGAGGATGCTTAGTCAAAGTTTCCGTAGCAACAACATTAGAGATTATTAGTTATTTACATTTATGATTATGAGTATAGACTGGAGATCAGATTGAGATTTTAAAGTTTGAGTTTAATTTGCCCACGTGTTAGGGCTTTGCTCTGAACTACAAGTGTGTGTTTTCAGTATTTTATTTATGAAAATTTTCCCGTTGCAATTTAAGATTGAGTATTTTATTTATCAAGGGAATTTTAGTAAAAGTAGTACCCGGTCGGGTTAGGGTGTTTCAAAAATGCCAACATTAGTGATTGACTAAGTAAGAGTTCATTCATCGCAACTAGGTCATTTGATTTTTAGCGAGTATTCTGGGCTTATGGACCTTGTATAGATGGATTCAAGAACTGTCCAAGAGTCATGGTTGTTGATGGAACATTTCTTACTGGAAAGTATAAAGGAGTGCTACTCATGGCAAGCTCATTTGATGGTCGGAAGAAGATTTTTCCAATTGCATTTACCATAGTGGAGAGCGAGAATACTCATAGTTGGCCATGGTTCATAAGTCACGTTCAAGGTTTGACTGATCGAAATGATGTCTGCATCATCTAAGATAGACATGCGGGACTCTATGAAGCCATGAGTGACATCGGAAGAGGTTGGGAGTGGATGTGGTGCATGCGACACTATACAAGCAACTTGCAAAGGAAAACTAAAAGCAAAATTATGTATAACCAACTATTTCTAGTCGATAAGCCTTCTTCATCGTTATTGTTATTTATTTTAATGTATTATTTATTTTCATTTAATTTTGTCATGAATTTATCTAACTAGTTTGGTTATTTATTTTGTTAGTCGGAGAAAAACGATCGGAGAAGTTTGATCATCAAGTTGAGCAATTTAAAAAGATGGCCGCTTATAGGAATATTTCTTGTGATAGCTGGGTGGACCAAAATCAAATTCGTTGGAGTTTAGCACATGATAACTATAATGGTGGACGTCGACGGTCGTACCTCGAAGATGGTAAGGTCGATCACCATCCTATAGTGCACAAAACTTATATTAATTCAATTTCATTCATAAATTCTAATTCACCTAGTAAAATCGATCTAATCCAAACTTATACTAATTTCAAAAAATTTCATACGTAATTCTATTATAATTTGAATTAAGTTCACCTAGTAAAAACCTATAACAGTCTAATCTAACTAGCTAACTAACTTTAAAGAAGTAGTTGTTATGAAATACTAACCTCGTTTGCCCAAGCTGAGTCGACACGATGTTGACCATATCCCCAAAGAAGTACCGAATTGACTGGAGCTGGATCAATTGTCATAGGCGGTAGTCTCATGGAATAACTGTCCATAAGCCTAGGAATTGAAAAAACAGCAAAAAAATAATAATAATAAAGACATAAAACTCAATTAAAAAAAAATCACCCCCGGCGAATATCTCATTACAAAACCGACCGCCGACGCCACGACCTCACCGGCCTCTCCCCCTTCCTCTGCAGGCGCCTGCTTCCTCGTCGTCGGACATCTTCTCCAAAAATAAAAAAACCATATCTGCTTCTTCGAGGTTGAGGGAAGAAGAAAGGAGATGGCGGACTCGCTTGGGAATCAGGCGCGGTCGCCTCTGTCTCCGGCGTGGCTGCTTGAGGTGGTGGTAAGACCGCCTTTTTGTCCGGCGTGGGCGCTGGTCTCGGGCGAGAAGAGGGAAGAAGTTCGTGGTTGTGGTTTGCTGAGGAGGAAGAAGAAGATAAAAAGGAGTGGGGTTGTTGGGCGAGGATGAGGAATTAAAAAAGGAGGGGGAAGGCGGGGCTGTTTGAGTCTCGGGCGCCACCGTCTTTGACTCGAGTGGGTTCATTTTGTTTGAACTAAAAAATTCAAAAATGCGGCCCCGCCTGAGTCTGGGTCGGACTCGCTCTTTAGCCTATACAAATAAAAATATTTGTGTCAATACTTTAAAAACCGCCATATGGTGATAAATTAAAAAATATATTTATGTAAATTACCCCCAAGACTACAACAACGACGAATGTGGAATAAAGAGAAAGTTCGGTGACAAATTTGGGAGATTGAAGGAGTAGTAGAGATGGTGCGCGGGCGTGTAAATTTGTGGAGAGATTTGGCGAAGATGAGGAGGAAGGAGATCGAAAACGATAGAGTGGTTACCATTTTGGTTCGGTTAGGTGGGTTGACTCTTGGTTCATTAAATCTTTTATTATGTTTATGATGATGTGGTGTGCTGACTGTGTATTGAGTTAATGGATTTTTGGATGGAGATGGACGGAATGACCTTTTTGTTATTCGTCCAAACATATTTGATTAAAACGTGCAAAATTAAAGTTTAGTGACTGTTTTGTACTATGTGATAAGTTGATAAGCTGTGTGACAGTTTACGATAATTAGTAGAGGTGTCAATAGGGCGGTTTCGGGCGGGTTCGGGCTGGGTTCATTCGGGTTGCGGGTTGGTCGGGTTGCGGGTCGATCGGGTTGTGGGTTCATCGGGTTGATCGGGTTGCGGGTTACTTGGGTTACAGGTCAATCCGGTTGCGAGTCAATCGGGTTACGGGTCAACCGGGCTGCGGGCAAATCGGGTTATAGTCCAATCGGGTTACAGGTCAATCGGGTGCGGGTCAATCGGGTTGCGGGTCGGGTGGTTCGGGTTGCGGGTCGGGTGGTTTGGGTTGCGGGTTTTACGGACCAGAACATCGCGTTACTTTTTAGTGATTACTAGTAAGTCATAAATCATAACTATATGAAGCTAGCACATTAATACCTTATACCCTATACACTACAGAAATACTGGTTTCTAGTCACGGGATCTTATTCACGGGAATTTTTCCCGTATTAAGAAGTATACTAGTAGTCACCAGAAACATTACCATAATTAATTGTATATTTCTGATCACGGGAATAAGTATATCTATTTTTAGCCTTTATTTCCCGTGATTAATGATTGATCACAATTAAATCTTGTGAACCATTTTACTTTGAAAAAACCTTAACTTTAGGACAAAAGAAGAATAGTATTTTCAATATTTCTCTAGGTTCATCAAACTTCCCTCCAATGTTGAATAACCAATTCTCAAATTTCTAAACTTCATCAAACTTCCCTCGGAAAACCAATTGCCTCATTAAATTTTCACCGACGAGGGAAATTTCCCCCCATTTTTTCACCAATTTGGCTCAAATTCCCTCCAGAAAATTTCCATTCCCACCAATCACCAGCTCATACCCCACCATGGAGAACAAAAAAACTCAATTAACTATTACCTTTACCTTTCTATCCTCCTTTGTCTTCGTTTTGCTTTCTACTTTCCCTTTGGTTTCTTTTTGGATAAAACAATTTAATATCTAAACCTTTTATTTTAAACAATATAATAGTCAAACCTTTTCGAAAACAATCTAATATCCAAACCGTCAACTTTCTGTCTATTTGACCGTTAGTTGACACTTCAAAAAAGTTCGAAGTACGACACTTCATCAATATCCATCGATATCTTCTCTGAAAAACCACCAACATATCGTAGTTCCAAACCCGAGAAGTCCATGACTCCACCATGATGGTATAGAATATCTAAATATGCAGTCATCTGCAATGCCAAAACAAGAAACAAAGTTATATTGTGACAATTTCTCCTAAACAAAGCTTTTTTGAAGTGTCAACTAACGGTTAAACGAACGGAAAGTTGACGATTTGGATATTAGATTGTTTTCGAAAAGGTTTGGCTATTATATTGTTTAAAATGAAAGGTTTGCATATTAAATTGTATTTACACTTCTTTTTTCTAGGAAAAGAACTCAGCTAGAATTCTCTTCTTCCTCCCATCCAAATTAGGGTTCGCAATCGGCATTTCGTCCAACTTGGGATACTATCTCTAACTTTTTGTCTTATTTTCCATCGTTAGTTCTACTTTTGAATTTAAGGTGTTTTTAGGTTTTGAAATCGAACAAATTAGGGGTTTTCAGTTTTGATAGAATTTGATATTCCTTCTAATTGAACTTGGTTAGATAATCCTCTATTGATGCTAGTCCTTTTCTTTTGATTTTTTTTTATCTGGTACAGTTACAGAGACTCAGAGAGGTATAATTGCTCCTAGATGCAACATATTTGACTGGAGTTGTACAAGAACCCAGAAAGTGCTAACTCTTGAGTTTGTCCACCTATTGAAAAGGTAAAATAATCGTTTGCAATGCTCAACAATTTTACACATGTTATTAATGAATTTCAAAGAATTCGCTGACTTTCTTACGTATCTTCACTTTGTGCAGATGCTGGCAAAATGAACCACCCACTTTGACAAGGTATATATATTACAGGCTCTGTAGAGATGAAGCTGAAGTTGCTGAACATGTAGTTGGTGGAATGTGAATCTTGTTTCGAGGGAGGAAGGATAAAAACTACTCAAAATTATTTTGTAGAAGTTTAATCTAAAACTTTTTTTTATAAGAAGCCCTGTAGTCTAAAACTTCCAATATCTTTTGTATGGTTAGATCATGTTATATGATCAATTAGATTTGTATAGCTTTTATTTATATCTTGTATGGTTACATCGTGTTATATGATCAACTAGATTTGTAAAGCTTTTATTTATATCTTTGTATGGTTAAATCATGTGATATGATCAATTAGATTTGTATAGTCGGGCTGCGGGTTGGCCGGGTTACGAGTTCTGATTAGTCGGGTTGCGGGTTGGTCGGGTTAATAGGGTTGTAGGTTGATCGGGTTGCGGGTTGGTCTGGTTGCGGGTCGATCGGATTGCGGGTCGATCGAGTTGCAGGCCGGGCGGATTACGGGTCATTAACTTTTAGTCAAATCAGGTTGCGGGCGGGTTGCGGATCGGGTTGATCGGGCGGGTTACTCGGGTCGGGTACAACTCTAATAATTAGTAGTGAACTCCCGCCATCCCCTTATAATGTACTCCTACAGGCTATGACCATTTTTTTTAAGAGGTTACGGCCTTTATGAATAGTGTACTACGAATTCTTAAAAGTCACTAGAAAATTGTGTTATAAAATATATAAAACTTGATGGCATTTGTAGATCACAATTAATATATTGTATATGTGTACTTTTTAAAATATTAATTAAAATAAATATGACACTTTAAGAAAAATGAAGGAGTATAGAATGGTTTTTTAATTAGAATCATTACTTGATTCAATGAATAAGAATCCATTATACAGTGCAGTGATGAATGACCATGCAAACTTGTGCTCTAATTGGGCTACCAATAAAAACAAATTTTGTGAAATGGTATAAGAAGTTGTATTTAAAAAGTTAATGATGTGCTATTTTAATTGAAAATCGTGGTTCGACCATTTCGAGTTACATAAACCACTTATCATTTATGATCTTATATCCAGTACTTATAGTCCGACCGGCCGTTACGATTTCTAAAACATTAAAAAAAAAAAACTCAATTTAGCTTCGTCCTTATTTCATTAATCTTGGCTAAACAAAAAAAATATAGAGAAATTAAGTAATTAACTCAATTCTGAAGCAAACCTCTCTTTCCTCATTTCACTCAAGATCCTTAATTCAACTTCAACACTAACAACTTATCGACGATAGTACATAGTAGAAGATTACATTACAATGATACTGCGACTTAGAGACATCCCGTGTAACCGTATTCAAACAGAAGACACACCTCAACGATAAATCAACTAATTTACACGGCGGCAATTCTTTCTAACTTCACCCTTAAACCCAGTAAGAGCGCCAATGTTCCCCATTCTGACCATAGACTTGGCAAACTGCTCAAAGAAAAGCCCCTCGTCCTCTGCATATCTCTTCACCAACTGCATCGTGTTCCCGACATTGCCAGAAAACAGCACCTGGTCCGAAGTCAACAGCCCTTTCCCCCACAGGATGAGCTTGAAGTAGGTGTTGTCGAATCTTGCTGGTGAGGAGGCATCCAGAGGGCTGTTATTGTTGTCGCCGCCTGATTGTGGGCAGACCGACTTTAGCCCCAAGTAATAAGTCCTCTCCATAGTCAGATCGGGCTGGTTGTTCCTGTTCTGGTTGTAGAGCCTCTGCTTGAACGTAGTGCATCTTGCCATGCCAATCGTGTGCCCTCCTGTACATCGTCATGTGTGACAAGTTAGACAAGGGCTTGAGTGAGGGGTGGAGAGGGTAAAGAGGGATCACTGACCAGAGAGAGAGACGAGATCGATCTCGTTCAGGCCTTGGCGTCTGAAGAGGGAGATGAGGGTTTGGATGGTGGAGTTTGGAGGCGGGATGTTCTGGTTGGACAAGCTGAGGCTTGCTGTTCTGGCGTCCTTTCTTCCCAAGGGGAGCTCCCAGCTTGGTCCACCGCTCTAGAACAAAGATAGACCGTTAAGGATAAGTTTGGAGAGTTTATTACTACAATCACAAATTCATTGAATATCAAAGTTTAGTGACAGTTCATGAAATTGGCTCCTAGGTGTGGAAGTGCTAGATGCAGAGTTAAGTAAAGCGTCTTTGAGGTTTAGCTTTTGCTGATTACCAGTACAGTAGAGCCACGAGCTGCCATGGCAAGAATATCCGCGCAAGAGACGGTTTGAGGGCAAGCATTTTCCAACTCAGCCTTGATCTCGTCAATCACATCAAACCCTCTGAGTGAGTTCCTGTTTGGACCTGCATTCTTCTCGCTAGCAATCTTCGCAGCACTGTCCAACAACACTGATGCATCACAACCCTGCAAAAAATAATAATTAAGATGTTTTAAATAAAAAAGCCTCAAAGGGAAGAGTTTTCTAGTGTATGTTGGTTGTGTTTAAGATAGTGGGACCTGCACAAAGCAATCATGGAAATGGAGTCTGAGCAAGGAAGCAGCCATCCTGGGATCTCTTGATATGGCCCTTTTCAGCACCGAGACGACAATGTCATTAGCCTGAGGGCAGGAAACCTGATAGTATCCAGGAAACAGACCTCCAGATCCACTGCCGGAAATAGGAGCATGACCACCACCCCACCAGCTGAAACCTACAGGGTGAGCAAAGGAAACGATGGTGTTGCATGAAAGGAAAATCAGTGAGAAGGTGAAGGCAACCGTGCAGAATTCCATTGGTAAGTATGTCACAAGGAAAATTCAGTGCTTAGCTACCTATGATTCTGCAATATCCATTGCGAAAATTTATATGCATGGAAAACTTAACCACTCTCCCTTACCAAATCCCTCAGTACCACCACCTAATCCAGATAGCTTTGACTTTGTCTTCAACCTCCGGAGGTGGATGCATGTGAAGTGAGTCCATTTTTGGGTTGTGGAGTTGTTTCTGCTACTAACTGCTCCAGGGCCATACCTTGACGATGCATATCTGTGCAGACAACAATCTCCCATGTCTGGTCCACTGCACTTTCCTCTGGTTGGCGTGTACTGTGGCTTTAGTCTTCAGATATGAGCTGTCTGAAAAGTATCAATCATGCTTAGTTACAGTATCATGACAAAAATGAAGTACAAAATGAAGCTCAATGGATTACTAAGAAAATAGAAGACTCTCTAAGCAAATGTTACCAGTGTACCTTATTCCAAACCATTAATTTTGGAATTGATGGCACATCTAGTTCTGACAAGACTTTGTCCACTGCATCTATCTGTTGCTCTGCTCGAGGATGACTGAAATATTGTGGACGCATAAGATAAAAAGCATCGTGTGGAATAGATTTCAAATTAATTGTTTAAAAACAACATACCTTATGTCAACCACATGCACCATCAACGAAGACTCAGATATCTCCTCTAGTGTTGCTCTGAAAACGGCAACCTGTCCAAAACCACCCATTAGAGATGCTTCCCATGAAGTCATGGTAAAACATGACTGACTAACTAGCATTTGAGAATGAAGCAAGCAAAAATGGAAAACACGAGTAGAAAGTTAATGAAAAGCCACCTCTAAGAAGAAAAAAAGCCTTACCAGGGTAGTGCGTAACTTTTGGATGAAACCAACAGTATCAGTGAGGAGGAACTCATTTCCATTCTTCATCTGGGCCATAACCAAACAACAATTATTTCAGGTTCCTGTCAAATTTATCTGGTAGTTCAAATTATTAGCCATCAAATCAATTTCTAACAATATCCATACAAAACCAACCTGACATTAGAGCTGAATCTTTACTTATATTAGCTACAAATTTTGAATATGTGGGAAGTTTGACTACCCTCAGGATGTCCGGAAACTGCAAGTCGATGCAAACTGCAAAGATGTTGCCATTAGTCAAGTTGCTTACCTGAACCTTTCTAGTAGTAGGATCAAGGGTAGCACATAGTCGATCCTCAGCTAGAACACCTGCTCCACTTAATTGGTTTAAGAGAGTACTCTTCCTAGCATTTGTATACTCTACCTACATATTGTAAAATGTAAATGTCATAGCAGAAGCATCAATTAATGGAAGATGGGCTATCCGCCTAATACAGTTCCCTTTTTGCTTCTGAATCAGACAAATAGTGTATTCATAGTCAGACCACAGTCAAACCTACAAAAAATTTACCTGTATAGATGCTTCATGAGTTGCTGCTCTCTGGTTGAAGATATCCAAGATGAGGGCAGTGCGATCACAGACTCTTAACTTTTCTCTAAATTACGAAGTTGCTGCCATTTGAACGAAGAAAATTGGAATATAAGACTATGAAAAAAAATCCACAGATGCTCAGTTGTCAGTAATACTAACAAGCACATTTGATAAAAGAACAAAAAGAAATAAGAACATTTAGTTAAGATCTCATCTTTGAATAGAGCATAGTGAGACAACATTGACAACCTGGGAAAACCACGAGAACATAAAGGAAACATGAAGAACACAAAGATGTAAATGCAGCAACAGCTATGTATCGATAAAGCCTTAAGACAACACAACTAAAGTACCAAGTTCCTTTAGCTGGACGAAACATTGATTACTGGAATAAACATAAGCTCCTAGGATATCAAATATGAAGTGCAGTAGATTGTTGACAAACACGATTTCCACATCAATGTATGGTGATCAAGATTAGCTCAATGAGAAGCTATCACAAGTTCAGATGAAATAGTTCACAAGTTGAGATATCCTACCCAGCAGAAAGCTCATCGTCAAATATCACAGTCTCGACCTGTAGAGCATGAATCGCACTCTTAAATTCTGAAACCTTGCCAGAGCCAACGTATGACCTCGCATTTAGAGTAGTTAGTCTGCAACAAAAACAACAATAAATGTGGCGTGAGCTTCTTGCTGATAAAACGTTCATAAGGTGAAATCATGTCATATTCATTGACAACACAATGTACCTTATCTAGGTACACAAGTTGAGCATCAGTCATTAGCACCATTGATTCCTACTTCTTAAAGCACAATAGAAACAGCAGAAACCACGCTCACTTCTGATACGTCGAACTAACGAGTATAGGTCCAGCAGTGTCAGCAAGCTTATGCCAATTCCTTGAGAGACTCCTCTATGCCAAAAGAATTCTCCGCGTCACCTTTGCGGTCAACCCCGACTAGATACGCATTTTCCGCCAAAACCTGGAAGAATTGGAAACATCAATTCCTCTAACAAATCATCCGTTGACGATATTCTCAACGAGAAGAGCTCAAACTAGCACAATTCCTCGTAAACACACCTCCTCTCCATTCTTGAACCTAGTGTCGACTGTCGAAAGCTATCCTCGTCTTCTCTGCTCTTCTTCTTGACTCTCTTCCAAGAAATCGCCGGTTTGACCTCCAATTCTTCCCCTGGGATCCATTAATAACTTGCGGCTCTTCTTCGCCGGCCGGAATTATCGGCGCGCTCTCCAGAGAAGGAGATACAACTTCGGCTCCTGGTTGGACGACGGAGAGAACCGAGGGAGCAACGCGGGGAGCCGAGCGGGAGAGCGAGCAGTTCAGTGTGTTGCTGGGATTCGGATTCCATGGTAGATGCGGTTCGTGGATTAATGGCGAGAGTCGAGGAAGAGAGCAGAAACAGAGTCATTCCGGTGATTTGCGTTGCGTGCGACTTGAGAACAATCCCGCTTCCCCAATTCACCATCAAGTACACTTCCGGTTGGACCGGAAACCGTCAATGTCGGATCACGGATGTAGTTTTGGTTAAAAGATTGCTCCGTCCAGTACAGTTTCGGTTGGACCAGAAACCGTCAAAGTCGGATGTTGTTTTGGTTAAAAGTTAAAACCTAAAACAGGACCTCGGTGTGATCGATTAAATTGTACAAACGAGAAGCCTATTGGACGATAACAAATGCATGTAGTGCTAATGAAAAATCAACGTCACTTTTCATTTCCCTCGGTGTCTCATCCCTTTTTCTAAGTAACAACTTAAAAACCAACATCCATAAATCAGGCGAATAAGTCCAACTCGTGAAATAGATGGGCACTTCTCCAGGAAATTTGGAAGCATTTTTACATTTAGATGACGTGTAAAACAATATTATCTTATGAATATTGATATTTATATTGTTTATTTGTTGCTTGGTAATGGACGGGAAGTCAAATTTGGTTTCCCCATAATTTTGGAATATTGAGGCAATAACTAACCATTTTCATTACATATGAGGTGTTTTGATACAACTGTCAAAATTAGGGGTACTTAAACATCTGATGTGAAGTACAAATCAGTTTTGATATTCTATTATAAATCAACCGATCTCAATAACTCGAATTGCAATGAGAAATTAATGTATACATTTTAACCATTTCATACTCGCATAATCTCCTCCAAAAAGAACCACGTCAATAGCATGTAAACATGAAAGAATAGGGTGATGGGTTAGTCATGGGTGTTTCACTTGATATACACATTCCTATTTGGATTAAATCATTGCATCCTTGGTTTCTTGGATAACGATCCTAAGATGTCGTTGGCACATATATAGACAAAGTTCGAATATTACATATGTGTTTGATGGTAATAAAATCTAAGTGAAATTACTCTACTCTTATGAAAATTTACTTAGTGCTACAAAATTTACCTACCACTATGACCATATTGCAGAGGAAAGGAATAACTTGACATTGGAATCCCCCTCTTCTATCTATAGTTGTGAGATGGAATAGGTAAGAAGCAACTGCCACATTGAGCAGTCATCCTACATTCTTCTCCCCCACTTGTAAATAGTTTAAGGGTGGCTTTGCTTCCTCGATTCTCTCGACACCTTGGTGTCGAGCCGCCTCGCTGGAAGAATCAAGACTCCCTTGCAACCGACATTATATCATTTTGTGAGCTAGTTATTTAGACTAAGTGGTTGTATAGATTTGACTACGAAGCCTATAAGTCCAACCATCTAAGACTCACATTAAACCATTTTAATTATTACGGCTCAATTGGATGTATCATGTCATTTAATTCCTTGTTATGTGGGCAATATGATATTAATTTAATGTAGTATAAACATAAACTATATCGTCGAAGCAATGATAACTCTTTTTTTTTTTTTTTTGCATACGGGGAGGCACCGAGCCACAGAAAAAGAAAGCAAAGCCGGAGTTACAGGTGGGAAGAGGTAGGGGGAGAGACTATGCGTCTAACAAAAGTGACGCCTCTGGTGTCTTCCTGAAGAAGCGGAAGAAGTTCATTAGGAGGTGTTTCTAGTTCATGTATATCGTAGGGATAGACGAGACTGTGCTTCGAGAGCCAGTCCGGGACTATATTCCCTTCTCGGTATACATGAACTAAATTCACAATCCAGTCTTGAGCAATCTGACGTCTGATGGCCGTTAAGAGGGCTGCATAAGGATGTAGGGGGTCTGACCTGTTCTTCACAAGTTGGATCGCTAGCTGGGAATTAGTTTCCACGATGAGGGTTCTGCAACCGTACTTCCACGCCAACTTGAGACCATGATAAATAGCCCATAACTCCGAACAAATGGTTGTACAGGAGCCCAAACCAACCACAAAGCCACCAATCTAGTCGCTACCGGCGTCTCTCAAGGTTCCCCCTGCGCCTGCTATCCCTTGACTAGCATTCACCGCACCATCCACATTAAGCTTACTCCATCCATGCGGGGTTGGCTTCCACCCGATCTGCGCCATCGTGCGATTCTAGGAGGGACTCGTTCGCCCCATCAGAGGGCTCGGAGCGTTCCAAGCCTTCCACCACAGAGCATCCCGGATCTTCACAACCTGCAAAAGAGAAGGAGCGGACAGGATCTTACCCATCCCATGGAAAGCTCCATCATTGCGATTCTTCCACATGATCCAGAGGGCAATGCAAAAGAATACATTCCAAGGGAGGCCGGAAGGAGCTGTATCCTCACAATAGAGCTTAGCTTCCAGCCAGCTGATCCAGGGACAGGTGAAGAAATTCTGAAGCTTCCCTAGCTGAACCGAGCGATTCCAAAGATAGTCTGTCGGGGGGCAGTCCCTGAATAGATGTAGAAGCGTCTCCGTACGAGTAGGGCATCTAAAGCAGGAGGAGTCTTGAGTGAGGTGCTGTTTAGATCTCTCCACATTAGAACTGATCTTCCCCTGCACCACAAACCAGACGAAGCAGCGAACACGCTCTGGCACTGGGAGGCGTCAAATCCTCTTCCAAAAGTGTTGGTTCTCGTCATTGATAGGGTCTTGGAGCAATTGGTAGGCACTCTTGGTAGAAAATCTTCCATTAGACGTCGGCTGCCACAGTAGCGTGTCTTCCTCGGTCGAGAGAGGATCCACCGCCCGCGTAGTAATTTGCCGAACTATATCCATGGGGAGAATGTGGTCGAACTTCTCCGTCTTCCAGTTCCCGTCTTCGTCCACAAAATCCTCCACCAGCATATCTTGATCTGCCTCAGGTATCTGCTCTGTCGCTAGCTCTTGGAGAGGTACCTGCGATAACCAGATATCAGACCAGAATTTAGTTCGGTTACCTCCATGAATATTCCAGGCGCATCCCTTTCTAAAGAGGTTCCCCGCCTTCACTAAACTAGACCAGGTAAAGGAACTTCCCTGAACAGGCCTCAGAAGATTGAGATGAGTTTGGTCCTTCCCATACTTCGAGCGAACCAGTTGAGTCCAAAGAGTCATCTTCTCTTTAATGGCTCGCCAACCACCTTTAGCCAGCATAGCTACATTCACTTCTCTTGTCGACCTGATCCCCAGCCCCCCATTCCGTTTTGGTAACAACAAACGTTCCCAGGGCACCATGTGGAGCTTCTTCTTCTCCTTGGTGTCTCCCCAGATGAAGCTCCTATTGCTCCAATCTAGAGACCTGCAAACATTCATAGGGAGCATTTCTGTTTGCATAGGGTAAATTGGGATAGAGGCCGAAATGGACTTAACCACAGTGATCCGAGCGGCGAGAGAAAGATGTTTGGTCTTCCAGGGGGCTAGCTTCCGTTGGATCCGCAGCATGAGGTCCTAGTATATGGTTTTAGTGACTCGACCATGAATCGCCATCACCCCAAGATAGCGTCCCAGGTCCACAGTGAGCGGGATGTCTGCCCGATGTGACAATCTTCTCGCTTTCCGCCTGTCAATGTTGGCCGAGACAAAAATTGACGATTTCTCATAGTTAACTCGCTGCCCGGAACTATGGCAAAACTCATCCAGGCACTTTCTGATTATCCGCACCTGAGTCCCATCTGCTTCTGCAAAAAGAATAAGATCATCTGCAAAAAACAGATGAGAAATCAAAGGCCCCCCTCTAGAAAGACTCAACGGTTTCCAACTTTTTTTCCTGAATAGCTTGATCAATCCTGTGAGAGAGTCTTTCCATGCACAAAACGAAAAGATAAGGAGAAAGGGGGTCTCCTTGGCGGACTCCCCTGGTAGGGGTGATCGGATCAGAGAGCTCCTCATTCCATAGTAGCTGCATTTTGTTACTCTCCACACAAAACATGATGCAATTGATCCACAAACTAGGCAGGCCCACTTCTTTCAAGGTATCCCGTAGAAAGTCCCATCTCAGCGACTCAGCCTATCATAAGCTTTCTCGAGATCAATCTTAAGCACAATGCCTCCTCTCTTGCCTTTCTTCTTCCTAAGAGAGTGAAGGACCTCCTGCAACACAATAATATTATCAGTGGTTTGTCTTCCTGGGATGAAGCTGCTCTGCCGGGGTGAAACAATTTTCCTCATGATCGGCTTCAGGCGGTTGGTGATAGCCTTCGTGATTGCTTTTAGGAACACGTTGTTAAGAGAGATCGGTCGAAGCTGAGAGACCCACTCAGGATGTTCCACTTTGGGGATGAGCACCACCGTCGATTCTACTACCTTCTCCGGCAGGATTCCCGTAGAGAAAAAACTAACAGCCATATCAATTAGAGCTTTCCCGACGGTTTGCCATGATTTTTGGTAGAAAATAGTCTGGAAGCCATCAGGTCCCGGCGCCGGGAAAGGCTTCATGTCCTAGACCGCTCCATGAATATCCTCTCCTGTAAAAGGTCGAAGTAAGAGGATGAGATCCTCGTGAGCAATCCTCGGAAAGGCTGGCTTAGGCATTTCGTCGGTGTACTCCTGGCTATCCTGCAAATACAGAGAAGAGAAAAAAATCAAAGACCAAACTCGCAAGCTCATGTTGGTCAGATATCCACTCTCCATTGCTGTCTTTGAGACTCTCAATCTTGTTCCTCCGTCGGCGAATATTGGCCTGTTGGTGGAAATAGGTCATGTTGCGCTCTCCAAACTGGACCCATTTCTCCCTAGCTCGCTGAAACCAGAGAATCTCTTCTTGTTCCAAGACTTTATCAAGCTCCTCCTCAAGTTTTGCTTCAAGCTTGAAGAGACCTGGCGAAAAATTATGAGCCACCTTTGCTTGGATCCCTTGAATCCGGCTCATAAGTCTTCTCTTTCTGCGATAAATATTCCCAAACGTTGACTGGTTCCATTGAGACAATTTACTGGCCATGTCTTGGAGAGCTTCCTGTAGAGGTGCCTGAAAGTCCCAACTATTAGACAAGAAAGTATCATAAGATTCATGAGTTAACCAAGCTTCCTCAAATTTAAAAGGATGAGAATAAGAAGAGGGGTGAACTCCCTGGTTTCCAAGAGACGTCGGGATAGGATGGTGGTCAGAATGAAGCCGGGGGAAGTGGGTGACAGTAGAACTGGGGAAGATTGAGTTCCAGGCTGCATTGCAGAGGCTCCGATCGATCCGACTCGCCTTGTTGAAGCAATGATAACTAACATACTATTTCTATGAGGGACAATCTCGACTTAATTATGGCCTCATTTCAAATTTTAAAAAATGCAGTGTCCAAAATTTCCAAATCCTTCTCACAAACTCCATTAGAAAGATAAGTCAAAGAGTTTTTTATAGGAATCTAAATTATTTTATTATGGAGGCCATTGAAATTGATAAGTCAAAGAAAATTAGAGATGAAAAGTGAAAACACACGAAGAATAATAGTTGGATAAAGGGACAGGCAAAAAACCAATGGTCACAACAAATTTTTGTGTAGTAGTCAAGGAGGGACATGAATTGAAGTGAAAAATGAGA